TATAAGTGTAAACAACAACAACAACAACAATTATTATTATTATTATTATTATTATTATTATTATAAGTTGCTTAAACCATATGAAGAGGTGATTTAAAGTTAGTCTGCTACTTAAGTCACCTCTAGAGGGCAGCAGCTGTTACTTTGTGTTCGTTGCAATTGAGAACAGGTTTAGTACGGTGCTGCGGACTAAGCACAGAGCAAAATCGTTACAATTGGTCTTAATGTGGAGCACAAGTTTAAACCGCAGCTGCATACTAAGCTTGAACTCCTGTTAGTTCGCTGCTTTCAGTTCGTTGCAATTGACCCAGTGTGTCTTAATACTTTATCCCTTCTCTGATGGTGGTACTTTAATTGCTCATCCGGTTGACAAATCCTGCGTCATTTATAGAAGATTACAAGATATAGAAGAGAAGATAGATTTTTTGGCCTCAGAAAAACTACTCCCATTGGCTCTTTTAAGTTCCCATTCGGAAATGGAAACAATTTTTGTGTTCAGTTTTTCCCACCAAGGCACTTTGTTGTCAGGTGTTTCTACATAGTTATTCTAGTGTGTATATGTCTGACTCCCCACAGAGTGAGGCTCAGTCCACATCAGTACGTGTTAGTACAATATGAACTGCATTCGTAGGACGTGTCTATAAGCTGTACTGATAATGCTTGATTGGGAGTGTGTCTTTTAAACAGGTATCAAGATGCATATTAAAAACACCAGGAAGCTTTTATTAACTCTGAAACATAAAAGAGAAAGCAAATCTTCAAACTCACCTAAAAATCAATGTGCTTGGGGAGTCTGCAAACTGCAACAGACATAGTAAACATTATTTCTTCAAAGTAATTTCAGTCATCTTGTCCTGGTCAGGACTGAAGCAGCAAATGATCACGTCTTGTAACATTTTTATTATTTTGATTGTATAAATCTAAGGGATTGGTGGATTGATATACAATATAGCTTCAAGCAATGTATAAGACAAATGATGATTAGGCAGCATTAGGTATTTATATGACTTCCATATTGAAGGCAAAAACGATTCACATGGCATTTCTCGACCTGGAAAAGGCATTCGACAGGGTACCACACGATCTCATCTGGCTGGCGCTGCGACAGCACCACGTCCCTGAAGCCTATGTCAGCTGGACAAAGCTCCTGTACCAAAAGGCCACTAGCTCAGTACGTTGCGCAGCTGGAACCTCAGACACCTTCCCGATCAATGTTGGCGTCCACCAAGGCTCAGCCTTGTCTCCTCTGCTATTCATACTTTGCATGGATACAATGACCAAAGAAATCCAAACGAGGCATCCATGGACGCTATTATATGCCGACGATGTTATGATAGCAAGTGAAACGCGACACGGCCTCGAACAGCAAGTAAAGGAGTGGAAGACGTGCCTTGAACGATTCGGGATGAAATTGAACATCAAGAAGACGGAGTACCTGGAATACAGTGATCAAACCGATGGCACAATCACAGCTGGTGGGGTCCAACTGAACAAAGTGACACAGTTCAAGTACCTAGGCTCATGTGTCAACTCCGACTGCACTACCCTCCAAGACGCCAAGACGCGAGTCAGCGCAGCTTGGATGAAACGGCAGCAGGTCACTGGAGTACTGTGTGACAAGAAGATCCCCTTTGCGCCTAAAATCCAAAGTCTACCGCTCAGTGGTCAGACCAGTGGCCCTATACGGAACTGAATGCTGGCCAACGACAAAGAAACATGAACAGGCACTCCATACGATGGAAATTAAGATGCTGCGATGGACCCTCGGCTTGACAAGACTAGACCATGTCATGAATGAAGAGGTACGTAAAACACTCAAAGTCGCCCCAATCACTGAGAAAATTAGGGAATCGCGCCTACAATGGTATGGACACGTGCTTCGCAGCAATGACACATCAATGGCAAAGATCGCCCTTGAATTGAATGTGGAAGGCCGCCGACCCCGTGGACGACCATTAACGCACTGGCTGGATCGGCTGAAAGACGACATGCACCTCGTAAAGTCACCTGCCGAGACGCCGTAGACCGCACGAAGTGGAAAAATCGGTGCAAACAAGCAGACCCCACATTAGTGGGAAAATGCGAAGAAGAAGAAGATTGAAGGCAAATGGATGAGGGTACCTCTCCTCAGGAAACTTTATTTCAGCTGAAGTTAAGGCACAATAGCATGAGAGGAAGAAAACGTTTCTCTCTCTTTTTCTTTCATTTTCCTCTGGCTGATTTCTCTTTAAAGTCAGATAACAGAAGTTACAATTTTCACAGCCCCCCTGATCCAGCAGCTGGATGATTTCCATTCTTGCTTTATTGTTTTCTTTAATAATTTGTCACTGCCTGCAGTTTGCAGATGTTCCTTTGAATGTCACATAGAATTGTGTTATATGAAAGGAGAGAAGGTTAGCACTCCCCTTGACAAGGATGGAAGAGGTTCTAGTGGCCTACAACACACATGTGGTTAAGGCATTGTGTACTTAGTACATTATGTACACTAAGATGAGAAATAATATTTGCATTAACAATGTAAGTTAAGATGGCTGTGATTATTCTTATTAGCAAATGTACTACTATTAACAGATGTAGTGTTGATAGTACTAGTAGTATAAATTGATAATTTATTTCATTTTCTGCTTTTTAAGAATCATTGTAGTCATGCAGATAGTGTTACAGAGAGAGGCACGCCTTTGTCAGGGGAAGGGATTGCTAGGCAAACATCAAACTACAGGTGGGGAGACACAAGTAAACTGGGGAATGAGTTGTGAACATAGCCCTGGCAGAGGCTGAGCAGATCACACATGGTGGCTTCAGTGCAGCGGGACACTGGGGGTTGGGCTGCATGGCCTGCAGACTGACAGGAGAGGCTGAGGCTGTGAAGAGCAAACAGGCATAGTCAAGGTCATGCAAGTGGAGGTCAAAGAGAAAGAAATCAGACAACACTGTCCAAAGCACTGGGGGAATCAGTGAGAATAGTTAGGTTACAGCAAAGTGAGGATCAGATCCAGAGAATCTTAGTAACACAGCACAAAAATAAATCCCAAAAGTGATAAGATCAGATCACTTTATTGGCCATTCAGGAATTTGTCTCTTCACATACCCCAGCTTGCTCTCCATGAGAGACACATGACAGGGAGAGAAGCTTGGGGTCAGAGCGCAGGGTCAGCCTTTATACCGCACCCCTGGAGCAGTTAGGGTTAAGGGCTTTGCTCAGGGGCCCAACGGAGTAGGATTCCTCTGCCGGCAGCGGAATACAAACGTGCAAACTTCCAGCCACAGGCGCAGATCCTTAGCCACAGAGCCACCGCACCACCCAGGGGTTTAGCCATGGGAATAGGCAGGGTTCGAACCAAGGAAACATCGAGATCAAGGAAGCCACATATATGGGAGGAATCCGGAGGCAGATCTAGACAGGGCAGGTCGGGAATCCAGGAAGAGGAGACAGCTACATGGGAACACAGGAACTGGGAGAACAAGGCTCAGAAATAATCTCCATACAACTAACTCTATGCCAGAGTGCCGAGTGCAGTCTGACCTGACCTTAAGTAACCTGCAGCTTCTAAGCCTGGGGTGCTTATAACAGTGCACAGGTGATCATGCTTTCTGTCGGATCATGCATCTGCGGTAATCGACATTGACAGGAGAGTGGACTTGTGGCCGGTTACTATGGCAACATTAGCCCACCCATGGTGCTGTAGCTAGGGTGGACTTGACAGACAGAGCAGGTGAAACGTTTCAGTGTGGTATGACAACTGATTTTCCTGAATTGGTTTTCCTTTTGCAAGGGTTTGGGTAATTTATCAACAGTGATGACATAGTCACAGCTCTCAGCCAGCACACTACTACCAGTGATATAAACCTCTGCTGCTCATCCTGAGAGTCTGCTGCTTCAGTGTCAGTGTATGCCTGATACCATTAGTTGTTTCATGAGTGATTAAACAAGCAATTATGTTGTCTGCTGCATGAACAGTGATTTTAACTTTCAATGTAACACATCCATGAATATGAAGTATTCTATACTAAAAGTTTAGATATAATCTTTTATTATACCTGATTTACTTGATTGACTTTTTTGATTATATGAAATACTGTCATTATTTGCATTATTTTCCAGCCGTCTGAAGCACACATTGATATTGTTACAGTAATAGGTGACTATAGAAGTGTCTTTAAGAATCTACTTACAGTGGGTAACTATGTCTTACTAGTCAATATTTCTAGCTTCAAGTGGATGTCTGGCTGACGTGCAGGGGGTCCAAATTTCAGTGATCAAAGCAATAATAAAGTTTACCTTAATTAACTATAATTAAGATCTGGTTAAATGTTGAAATGTCAATCAACAGTCCAGAAAGACACTGCATAAGAGGATGGTGAAGCAGAGTAAAGGAGGGGAGGGGGGGCTCCTTGTTCCTGATCACCTGGAAAGACCAGATTGAAGCTAAGTGTTTGAACCTTGTTAAGAGAGCTTGCTATTCTGTGGTTTTTAGGGAGCTCTGATTTCCTGTGTAAAGAATCCCTCAGTTAAAAACAGCCTCTCCTGGTTAGTAGGTGTATTTTTAAAATGGGGAGATAGGTTTGCATTCATTTGGTGGCATCTGACTTTGCGGAGAGAGTTAACTGCAGATTGTATTCTATTTAGTTTTAGAAGCCAACTTATCTCTTTTTCAGGCCTCTGTAGGCATTACATAAGAGTCGAGTACTTGGTAGCAGTCTGGGATTTTGTTCTGGGTTAGAACATAGAACCTTAGTTGGAAATTTGTAAATAGCATAACTTGTATGTTTTATGTTTATGTTGTGTGTAATTTAGTGTGTATTGTCATTTAAAATAAATATTTATTTAACCAAGTGTGCCTGAATTATCAAAGCTGTACCAGAGAACAAAGGACTCACGTCCCTCTGATTATACCAACCACTGGGGTATATTTGTGGCAGAAATCTTTACAGGTTGGGGGTTATGATTATTTAATGTACGTATTGATTAATCAGTTCTGTCATTTTCTGATTTTTTTAAGGATACCTTAAAGAGGAGATATGGATTCTGTGCAGCCGCAGGAGTAGGTGGGAAGCACGGCAACAAACAATCCAAATCAAGAGGTGAGTTCGTAGTTAGTGGGAGAAAGGAAGGTGGAAATCCAGGTCAAACACAGGTGGCAAATAATCCAAGTCGAGAGGCGAGATCATGGTCGAAGGGAGAAAGGTAGGTATAAATCCAGCAAAGACACGGGTGGCAAACAATCCGAGTCGAGAGGCGAGGTCCGAAGTCCGAAGGCAAAAGAGGTAGTTGAAAATCCAGAGTGACACAGGGTTTAGGAGTCGCCAGGTAGAGCTCTCAAGGAGTTAACTCAATACAGAGCAGCAAGAAGCGGGTTGGAGAGGCTTAAATACTGCAGCCTGCCGCACGGTAGGGCGTCTGATGTGAGTTAACATGTGTGGCGGCACTTGTAATTGCTGCTGGTACTGATTAGTTCTCTTGGGGGCTGGTCTGGGCAGGTTGGTGGTCCTGACATGTTCTCCATTTTTGTAACCCCCTACTTGTAACAATATGAAATGCTGTATTCTACACTCCAATATCTATTGTATCCAATAATAAAATGTGTCAGAGTTGAAAATAAATGTCATGACATTGTATAATAGCAGCATAATGCATTTTCACCAAATAAACTGTGGCACTACACACTCTTCTTAAATGCATGGAGAGGTTTTTCTGCTACACATTTTCAGAAAACATTTCTGAAAAAAAGTCACACACTCCTTTGTCATTTGGAGTGAGCTGCTGGAGAGGGAGCTGGCCTACTGTGGAAGATCCCTCTGGGCTACAAAGTGTCACAGCTGAAACATGCTGAGTTATTTCTTTTCATAGGCAACTCTATGTGATCCTCAGAAACCCCACTGAGGACTTTAATGTAGAATTGGAATTTAAGATGATGTGTTTTTCGTGACCTGAAAATCAATTAAGTGCTTCAGGTGTGTGAGTTTGGGCCATGTAGTGAGTGTCTTCCCAGAAGTGGGGAGAGCAGGCGGTCTGTAGGTGCGCTGTAGGGGAAGGGTGGGCCTGAGCCCAAGCCACAGGGGAGAGTGAGCAGCTGAGGCAGTACCTGTGCAGAGGGGAGTAGTGAAGTAAACACCAGGGTGAGAGAAAAGATCTCACATCAGAGGGGAGAGGTTACCTTACTACTGAAAAAATGTGCCAGATATTGCCCTCTGTCATTATTACATTTAGATGTTTTGCTGCACACCAATGTATTGCCATGGAGACTTGAGGATTTTATGAATTAATGAAGACATCAAAAGCAGATAGGATTTCTCAGGAGCAGGATAGCTATAGTTAATGTTCACTGCCTTCTTTACAGTATATAATATATACTCCCAAAACAGACAACTCAATTGGTATTTGACCTATTGCTATTGCAACTCCTAAAGGCCACTGCTTGTAAATACCATGCATTTTGTTATCGGCACTTTGATTACTTTGATGGCAATCTAAGATAGCACATTGGTGCAGTGGTTGGTGTCTCTGCCTCACAGCACTGGGTTCAACCCTGGGCTCAATTCCTGACCCACAGCACTAGCTACTGTATGTGGAGTAATTGTGTGCAAGATTAGGATGATGGAGTGTTTAAGAGAGTGAACATTATTGCTTTAATGTCCTTTTAGCTGTGCCAGTTCTTGTCTTGGTAAGTTGCCCTCAATGTCAGTGGCAGGGAGGTCAGTGCCAGAAGGTGAGTTAATGTTCTGCAGGCTGTGGAGACCTGAGGGGCCACAGTACTCAGTCCTGTCCTGCTGCTGCACCAGTGCTGAGAGGAACATGAGCCATTTGCTGACAGTGCTGCTGATCACTGTAGGAGCCCTGCTGGCTCTAGCTGAGGGAGAGACAGTCAGTCTCAGTCTTGACCAGCTGGATCCCAGAACTGTGAACATTGTTTTAAATTACTTCAATGGAAGGAACCGACTGAAAAAAGCCTTTTGCCTGGATACCCAAAGATCAGGATCTGGAGACAAAATTACTGAGGTAAAAAAAGAAGGGGATGGAAGGCACTTTTTCAGGACACATCTAAAAGCATTTTGCTTGTAAAAGCCATTAAGCTTTGTGTCTATTTAAAAAGAAACCTTGGACCTTCCATATAAAAAAATATTTCACACCAGGAGCAAAAGTCAGCACTCCTGCAGAACTCCAGTCCACCTGTTATTTAAAAATCAGCAACACTTCTTTAAGCAATTAATTAAATAAGTAATGTTTCAATGTAAAGAACACTAGTCCTTGAGGACTGAGAGATGCTGTGATTTTAGTTCCAATTGATATCTAAATTACTTAATTGAACACCCTACATATTTCATTCCTTGGCTCTGTGGCTATTAGAATTTATTTCTATAAAGCCTACCTCTATAACTTCCAGAACTTCAGCTGTCCAGGACCAGGGTTGGACCAGGGTAATTGATAATACGTAGACTGATTCTCAGAACTTCTCTTTGTTGTTTAAGTTTGAATTTGCTGGTACCCTCCACACCTTTGAGTTCCAAATAAAGGAAACGGATAGTCCTCATACAGCCCTATTAACACAGCAGTGGGATGCTGGGGTGAGTAGAACAGCCTTCATAGCTGATTCCACCAGTTAAACCCATTATATCTAGCATCAACAGCATATACTCATACTACACACTTCATAGATCCCAGATTGAACAACAGAAACCAACTGCATCACCCACTGTACAGCAACCTGCTTTCCCAGACTATGAATATGGTAATGATGACAGAGTAGTTTGCAAAATGTTACCGAGGAATCTGAAAGGGCGATTTGAGATAATCCAAGCATTCCACAGGCCACACAAGCTATTTTCTGTAATTGGGGGCAAGAAGGCTATAGATGGAATTGTAAATAGTATTTGTGTCTAGAATATGTGACACCCTGATGAGCTCCAGTGCTCCTGCATCAGTACCCTCAATCACCACGGCTCATTCCACATGTGCAAGGAGCTCATCAGGGCCATCTCCAACGAGATCAGGCCGGGCTTATCAACCTTTTTAAGAACCTCGCACATTATTTATAATAATAATCATAAACTTTATTTTATATAGCGCCTTTAAAGGTGGCTTCCCAAAGCGCTTTACAGGACGACAATAACAATAAATAAGAAGACTACAACAATAAATAAGAAGATTTCACAAGATAAGACACAATTACAATTACAACAATAACAATAGAGGAGACCGTGGAAGTGGTACTAAGAAGAGCAGAGGGGTGAAGAATGGAACCAGTTAAGTAAAGGCTTTTCTGAAGAAGAAGGTTTTGAGTCTGGATTTGAAGGAGTTTAGAGAAGGTGATTCTCGGATATCCTTGGGCAAAGAGTTCCAGAGCTTGGGGGCATAGCAGGAGAAGGCCCTGTCACCCATAAAATGTAGATGGGCTTGGGGGACAGTAAGGAGGGCAGAATTTGAAGAGCGGAGGTTGCGAGGTGGGGAGTAGGGAGATAAAAGTTCAGTCAGGGAATTGAGGTGCCAAGCCATGTAAAGCCTTATAGGTGAGCATGAGGATTTTAAAGTCTACGTGGAATTTGACCGGAAGTTCTGAGGAGCCATTCCACAGGGCTCTGACATTGAGTTGACTCACAAGAGGGTGTTTGGTGTTTGGTGTTTGGTGTTTGGTGTTTGGTGTTTGGAATGCTACCAACTATCTATCATTCCCTTCTGTCTCCAGCCCAAAGTTGACTGCTTCCCCTGTGGATCTCAGCTACCTGCTGTTTTCCTTTCTTCTTCCCATTACTGTGTTGTTACCACTTAATCACATAATAACATCTGTAATCTTCACTGCTAATTGGACTCTGAGGACAATTACTTTGCTGTACCCTTTTTTCTTTCCCCCTATGGGCCTGGTGTAACAGAATACCCTGAAGAGGATCAATTGGTATTACTTCTAAAGCAGTAACAGTGTAGTTTTCATGAGCCTGAAATTTTGCCCTCCCACTTTTATCTCAGGGAGATAATGAGTTGAACAGAAAGAGGATGGCGATACAGAAGAAATTGAGAGTGAAGAATGAGAATGAGGGAGACAGAGCTTTGTGCAGGGCTACGAGGTGTGGAACACTTGTGTGTAATTCCTTATGTCTCTTATCTTTAAGAGAAGGGGGCCAGGTTAAAGCTGAGAAAGGGAGAAGGATAGGGATAGGGGGTAGACAAAGACCTGCTAAATGAAGGCTGATATCAGAACAACTGGACAGGGGGGATTGGTCATGGGCGGAGAGTAAAAAAAACTGGAGACTTGTACTGGCTGAATTACAAAGGGGGAGGCAGGGAACTCACACTACAGTATGTTGTGTTGGATGGAAGGGAACAGAAGGGGAGGAATCTTGCTGACTTCACCAAGGATAGAAAACCACACAGAGACAAGGAAAACCTTCAAGGGCGGGGAATTGTGTCAGGGAATTAAGCCATGTGACTGAAGCCAGAGTATGTCATAGGATCCTTGCTGAATATGAGAGTAGGACACTGAATAGAGGTAGTACTCCAAGGAGACAGCATCAGGAGCAGCATTGGCTGAAAAGATGTAAATGGTTTCTGGAGACACAGAAGTTATTGATTTAGATCCAGAAGTGATGTAGGAGAGAGAGAGAAAACAGAAACAGGTGTATGAGGTGGACATCATATGACAAAGGGCCTGGCTGGCAGAAACATGAGCAGCGCAGGGGTTGAAATAGCAGACTGGAATCCAGCACCATCGATTATATCATTGCAAAACCTGGAAGAGTGCTGCTCAGCTAGGGCTATTTTTAGAGTTCACAGTCTCTGAACCTAAAAAGATACTTAAAATAATTATTTCTTTCTTACATTTCTCTTACATGTAGTTTTGTCCTAGACACTACAGTTGTATAGACTGCCTATAGTTCAGTAATTAATTGTTGGAAATGTTGTAATGGAGGGTGCAGAGGAGGTGACATGAACAGACATGTAGGATATTGGTGAGAGCCATGGTCTGAAGGCAACTGTTAAGAAATTGTTCAAGCAGGCTGTCCTGGTGGGCTGAGTGAAAATCACAATGGCTGCTGAGTAGGACAGTCAAATGGCTGATTAAGAGAATGAGGTAGAACGTTGGCCTTGTTGA